TACCAAAAAAAATGCCCATCAAGTTCAGTTTCAGAATCTGTAACTTTGGACAGCACAGTAAGTGCTCTCAAGAAATTAGAAAAACTTTTCTGTAGAAATGGTCAAGAATCAGCCACAAATCTTGCAGGTTTTTCCATGACTGTCCCTACTTTTAGAGCATGGAGTTGCCCCTAGTTTTAGAGCATGGAGTCACGGAAAGCAAAGCACAGCTGGATGAAACTACAGAACTTTTGATGTACTAAAGCCCACCATTCTGATGAAAAATGCTAACTCCAGGTTCCTGAAATTTGCTATGATTTTGCCTTGAAGAAGCTTATTCATATTTAAATTTTATAACTGGAAATTAAAGCAAAACAGCAAAACAATTTGCTTAAGAAATTATTTCATAAAAGCAGTTAAGTGAGTCAATGACTAATAGATGATCCTTTTAGTTACTTAGGTTTGAAATGCAAGGACATGCTGATACAGGAATATATAATTTAATATTATTTCAGGCAAACTCGTACTACGGTTTGTAAAAATACAGTGAAACATTCCTGTATGACAATGTTTTGGGGGTTTTTTGTTTGATTGTTTTTTGACACTTTTGCCCACAATTTCATGTACACACAGTTCATGGATATGAACACAATGAAGCATATTTACATAATGGTCACAGAAAACTGACTAGTGTTTCCCAGAAAGCACGCTAAAAGAATTACTACCCAAGTTACTAAAATTACTAATACATCCATTTTCACTGAAAAAACTGCTTGAAAATCTTAAATCACACAAAAATCATTTTGATACTGAGAGCTACAAAATTCTTAAGAAACATGCACCACACAAGAACTCGAACAATCTGCAAAAAAATAGTTGTAAGCAAATTTAAATAATCTAAGTAAAATGAAATATGATCAGACACAATACTTAATTGTTCTTAAAAATTATCAGTTGGATATACTTTCCATGGTTATTTCTTCCCTAAGCCATTTTGGTAGGCTAACAGCCAAGCACAGCAATGAGCCACCCATTTAACTGGGTGGCAGGCTCACTTCTTAAGTTAACAAAACCTTTATTTTTTTTATTTATTTTTGTAACCCTTGGGGTTTCTTTTCCCCGGACGGCTCTGGAACACGTGCTGGACAGGCTGTCATTACTTGCATTATTAGCTCTGATAAGCACACAGCTCTAGGTGGTATAGCTGCAGGCTAAGGTACCGGGCTGGGTACAGATGGACCCCTGTGCTCACGCAGAGCACTATTGAATGTATAGGGGCTCCCCATAGGGACACATGTGAACCCAGCCTGATCAAGCCAATTGTAAGGGCCCATATTTGTGGAACAGCTTTATTTCCTACACTACCGATGCATTTATCACAATTTCCTAAAGACAAAAAGAAACAGAGGTCTACTAATAGGAGTTTCTGAACATGAACTTAACATAAAGCAGAAAATCCTACATTGAGAGCAAGTTAAATGAGTATCCCTGCCCTCAGTGTAAACAACTCCATCTCAGGCATGTATGTACACTCCACAGCACACAAACCAAGTCACAAGAGCTTTGATTACTTAATTACACAGCTTATGTTCATAGCTTGTAATTGTTTACAGCATAAAAAGCATAGCCTATTTACTCTGATTAACACCTATCCCTGTGTACTAACAAGACAAATGTATTCCAGGAATAATCTCACAATGGATTTCTAAAATGGTAAATCTACTGATCATAGAACTGCTTAAGCTTCATTTCCCATGGTTTGGTCTCTCCTCTCCACCCAGATGAAAAGGTGTACAACAGAATAACAGAAGCTTTGCTACCACCATTTTATTTTAATAGAGGAATTAGTGTGGGATTTTGCCTGCCTTTTTTTTAAAAAATATGTTTCAGAAATACTCAGTTTCTACTCCTAACTTTCACACAATTTGATCAAAGCTGGCTCACAGGTGACTGAGGAATGACGGGGAGATAGATGTATCCACAAACCTTATTTTCCTAAAGATACAAAACTAAACTCCATACAGAAGAAAGAAGGAATTAATTATACTTTTGCCTACCACCACAGAAAAACCATAACATTTGGCTTTAAAATTTATGGAGGGAAAATGATGGAGAAGCTGCAAGGTCCACAGTTCACAGCTCATGAACCTCCAATATTGGTTGCTGCCACAGAAAATGAAGATGCTGAAACCAAAGTCCTCCTGTTACACGAAGTTCAGAGGAGAAAAACACATACACAGTGTCCCTTTGGTTAATCTCAAACAAGCAAGCTCCCAAAATACTTTTAACCAACATCTTTCAAATGACCCACACTATTGCAATTGCTTTTCATCTTCATTTTTTCACCAACAGGTATATAGTTCAAAGTAAAAATGATTCAACTATTGTTCAAATGGGAAAAAAGGTCTGTTAAGTCCTTCTGGCAGCACTGGAAGGCACCTGATGCCACCTACCTTTGGCAGATACTATTGTAACACTTCTTATTTATATTTTTTGGAGAACCTCTAAAAGCAGCTGCCTAAAAATACACTAGTCCACTTTACCTAGACTTGATTCTAGTCACAGAGTGCTTTAAGGACAAAACTCCAGAAACTTCTTTTGAAGTTTCTTAAATAATATCGAAATGCAAAAAGCCACATGCCATCAGGGAAACAACTGTTCTTACTGCCATGGTAAAAGTCACTGAAATAATTCAGGTAAAACAATATGGCAACAAACTAAAATGAACTCCTTTGTTATTAAATACTGTTGGAAGATGCACAGAAGACACTGATAAAAATTTGAAGAAACAAATGTTAAAACAAGTTACACTGTGTGGGAGGTTTGCTATACAGCTGAGTGAAAGTACAGAAGTTTTTTAACTTCTCACACCTTGAGGTATCCATTTCAACTATGAAATGCCTTTTTTTTTTTTTTTTTTTCTGTGAGCCACTGAAGGAAGGATGTACTGAAGAAGATCTATCCTCAACAGGAAGTGGCTTCTCAAATAAAAAAGAATGTACTATGGAAAAACTGTGCAAATGTAGCTACTCATGGACTGGCTGCTTTGACTGGAATAAAAAAGGGATTCCAGTCTAAGGCTACAGATAGCACTGCACATGAAACTCCTTCACTGCACCACTCAGAGGTGAGCTACTCCAAAGTAGTTGGAGCCAGGAGTGCACAACGTGCTACAAGATGACATCAATATTACACATATATACACACACACACACATATATATGTATAAAACTTGACAAAAACAAGCCCTTCAAACAATGGCAGCTTTACCAGACTTTGTGTTGAGATGGGATGGGGCCACAAGCATCCCTGGCACCACGCAGAGGTTCATTCTCCAGATAACTTGTGGCAAAGCGCTTAAAAGAGTTGTCATTTCAAAAAAAAATGTGTCAGGTTTGACAAGTGCTCCAAATCCACTGACCTTTTCAGTTATGACAAGTGGCTGTGAGTAGTTTGCTACCTAGCAGAAATTTCCAAAAATTAAATACTCAATGTGTCCTTTCAAGGTGAAGGTGTCATTTTAACAACGAGTGAGAAAGTAACTCCTTTGCAAAAAAAACTTGCGCTTTGGAGAAAGCATTTAGAAAATAAGTATTTGGATATGTTTACCTAGTTATGTAATTTTTGGTTTGGTTTCGTTGGTGAACAAAATGTGTGTCACCTACAAAAACCTCCTATATCTGTACACTTTAAAAGGATATAAACAGAACTTTCTAACATACTAAAAATCTTCCCGAAGAGAGTTTTAGGGGATTGAAAACACTGACATGCAACACCTTGTAGTTTTGAACGAAAAGCTAATTGACATCAGGGAAGAAGATAATTTATAAGCCCAATTTTAAGCAAAACAATTGCAAAACTCATGGATAGGACTGAAAAATGAGTATAATTAAGTAAAATTTAGTAAGTGAAAGCAACTATGCAAATTCATAGATCCCCTTCCATGGTGATCAATGCATCTCTGTAAGGTATCTTGTCCAGGCATGACACCCATTAAGATCAAGTGCTGAAATAAACTAAACTTAGAACCAGATATTCAAATTACTGTGTCTCAGTGTTAAAGATTTTAAAAATTATGATGCATATTCAGTTGTACGGATCTTGATAAAAAGTACTGTTACTAACAGTAATCTTGTCAGATTGATAAACAGCTTAAAAACCTTTTAAAGTACTGATTGTTTCATCTTTATCTGATCTTTTTTAACTTCTATTTTTACGTTTATAATGTGCATAATATGTAAGTACATTTGCATAATTTATAAATTAATATACCTATACTGGGATTGTGCAGTCAGAATTTTTTTACTGATGGGGTGCATGAACAAAAGAAGTTTAAAGAGCACAGATCTGGATGACCAGATGCAAATGCGCTCTACTGAAAGCTGACACTTGTACAGAATAATTCCATGGCTTTTCATCCACTCTTACAGCAGCATTCTTGGCTAACCTGTGTGTAAGTAGCTCTCAGCAGAGGTGGTTACACCACTTTAAAGAGTTACTGTCCAGTACTCTTCAAAAGAAAATGAAAGCAGAAATACACTGCATCAGTCTATTTCAACATTTGTCTAGTAACATGTGTGTTTATGTGCATGGACCATTTCAATGTTGGGGCAAGAAAAGGATGCAGTAAGTTGGGAATATTTAAACAAATTTATTATAATGAGAAATGCTTTAACTGGAGGTTTGCATGAGACAATTGAATTTATATAGGTAGTAAATACTTAAATACAGTAACTCTTGCACTGCTCTGTCACCACCAGACTGAGATGTGAAAAGTTTTTTATTATTCATACTAAATTCTACAGCCCTTAAGAACAAGTCATTTTGGAAAACAGTCCACATCACCAAGCAGCCAAAGCCAACACAGCAGATTTATATGTTTCAATACTGGTTTCACAGTGAACTGATAGGATGGAGATCACACATATTAATTCTCTGACTACGTGATTTCAAAGATAAGGATTATATCCAGGGCACAAAAGTGAATACATATGATCTCCTAATGAATATTTGACTCTTACCTTGCACCTTATCTGAACACAGCTCCTTGGCTCGATCCCTCATTATTTGTGGAATCAAAACATCTTTTTCTACATGTCTCAGCTTAGAGTTTTCTGCAAGAATGAAAAAAAGATAATTTTGAAAAAAAAAATTGTTATCTATACATCAGAAAAAGTTAGTCTAAAGAAATAACATTGTTTATGTAACATACAAGACTACACTAAAACTGTCACAAACAGCAGCAGAAAGTACCATGAAAGCACCACACAGTTTAAAAGAATGGAAAGTCCTAAATTTGCTCATACAAATATGATATTATATAATAATAGATAATAGTTTATTATTATATTATTTTGATAATTATTATTTAGATAATAATAGATAATAGATAAAAAATATGAGCATTATCCTGAATATTTCTACTCTGTTTAATGAGCACTATGAACCAAAAATAAAGGAGTAAATTCTGGCAGCACTTTTGAATTTCTGCCTTACTGAATGAAAAAATCTGCATACAGATAGCACAGCAGTTAAACACTTTTATTTCTGGATACTAGTATTTTTCCATGCACATGATATGTATGTACTCTTTCATTCACTGACACAAAGCTGAGAAAAACAGCACATACTAGAGCACAACCTAGAATTTGTGCAGTTTTGTGGGAAGACTTCAGTTCTTCAGAAGAAAATGTAGTCTCTTCAATGGAGGATCTTTTTCACTGAGAAATCCAACTTAAAAGGAAGAAATGCTGCTGCCTGATTTCTATACTTAAAAGTAAATTTGTAGTTTGCTTTCAGTTGTCTCCAGAATTCTCTTCAGTACAGCTAGTGATTTGGAATAAACAACACAGACCATTATAAAAAAAAAAAAAAAATACTGCTTTTCCAAAACCACTTTATTCAAAACAAAGGGATGAGAATTTATCAGGAATAGTTTTTTACTTCTCAGTTTCTGAGTTTAAAAACTTTTAAAGAACATTTGCTCAATACAATGCAGTTACACCAAATGCCTGGTTTTCATCTTCAAACACACTATTTATTCAACCTTTGAAGTTGATATCACATTTCAGAATAGCACCAGTTAGGATGCTCACACATCAGAGTTATTTTGGGTGACAATCATTTCAATTTAAAATCGCTTATTAAAAAGGAGATGAAATGAAGAAAAAGTAAAAGTGTAATGTATTGAAACTAAGGAAAGAAGCAGGTTTTCCGTTACCTGCAGCTTACAAACACTTATTCAGAGCATTTTTGGTTACCTCTCCATTAAAAACAAGCAAAACCAACATTTGTCATTCTTAAGTCATCATCTTTTAGAGTTTACTAATGCTAAGAGATTACATTATGAGATTACACAGTATTACATATGTGATACTACTAGTAGAATCTGGCAACAACAGAGGATTACAATGAGTAATATACAGAATCTGAACTAAAGACATTTCTCCTCAAAAATATCCTTCTTAGCATTTCTACAGCAGGGAAAAAGCCTCTATTACATGTATGTACATACAACAAAAACACTAAAAACAAATAGCTCAGGACTTAGATTTGCTTCAATGCTCTGATTTTCATATTAAAACATTGCAAATTTCAGATTTCTACAAATACATTATTTTACAGATAAAATATTATAAATATCCTTCATTTTCATTTTCTGCAGAGCATCAGTGCAATGACTGTACCAAACACTTGGTACAGTACATAGGCAACAGACAAGATAGAGCTGTCAGAAAATGTCCATGCATGTTTTATAAAAAGGACAAATCAGTTCAGCTGAATGACATGGCAGGAACTGGCACCACCAGGCTACGTGCCTCAGCTCCATCCATTCCAGTCAAAGCAAGCTGGCATTGCAGCCTTCCTGTCCTCTCCCCATCCCTGTGATGCTCTTTTCCCTCTGCCCACACAGATAGGCTCAGCAGCCCTGTGGTGAATGAAAGAGGAAGTTAATTTCCTTTAAAGGTAAATACATTTCCTGTTAGGCAATTTTTCAGCTAGGCAAATTTACTGATCCTGTGAACAAAAGTTCCGTGTATAACTCCAAAGCTGCCTATATGAGGGAATTCTGTGAGACTAGGACAAGAGGAAAAACTGAAGTACCATGAGTACCACTGGCTCAAATGACAGTCTGAATTTCTGTTCCCCACACTTTCTTTTTCTAAACTCAACTTGGCTATACTGGTGCTTGGAGTAACCAGAGTACAAATGCAGATACAGTTAAACAAGTGGGTTGCCACCTGTCACCAAAAGGGAAGTTTTACCAGTCCCACATTGCCCTTACCCACACCCATCACATTATCATTATTATGTACCTAACCACACAGAAAGTGAGCAAGTCAAAACCTTATCTACTTCCCATAATTAGCATAACAGAATGTCTTGAGTTGGAAGGGACCCACAAGGATCATCACAAGACCAACCCTTGGCTCTGCACAGGTTCAACATGGAAATGTAGCAGAGAGAAGTCCTTAGGGCCTGGGAAGAACAGCTGGGCTTCCCCTGCTGGCAAAGCTAGCCAGACGCATCCACGATTTTCACAATGACAAAGCACAGGGCTTCAGTGCAAGGATCAGCTATCCCACCACTGACAAAGAGAAGTGGGTACAAATTCAACTAAAGGCTAAAAAGGAAACAAGACACAGGGCCATCTGGAAAAAAACAAGCAAGCAAGCAAAGAAAAAAACCCAAAAAGAGAAGATATCACTGATAGCCAAAAACGGTCAAAAAAGAACATTGAGTTTTCTCTTAGGTTAAATACCCGATCTTCTGTTTGATTATTCAAAGGAAAAGGCGCATAAGATTGATAGCAAGGAGTAGCTCTACTGGTGTTAACACCAGCACAACCAGAACCATGACAGAACAGTGCTCCAGGCAAATTCCTTCTTTTTAGTCCCATGTTGTCAAGTCTACAAATGTTGAAAATGCAGGAAAGAGAGGGCACATCAGGACACTGGGCAGCATCCAGTAGGAAGAATGAGAAGAGAGCTACAACAGTACTTCAAAGATAATTACACAATAGTATAAAGGAAACTACAGTAAAGACTGTTTATAAACTCATCTACAGATTTTAGAAGAATCTCTGTTGTGAAGTATCAGTTTTAATTTTTTTTTAATTTTACAAATGTTTGTATTTACTGGATTTTGCCTTTGTATTTTTAATTAGAAAATATTTATTGCTTAATAATGGTTGGACTCAATGGTGTTAAACTTAGCCTAAGTGACTCTATGAAAAGCCCAAGCAATTTTAATTATTTTATCCTGTCTAAGTTTCAGGCTCTGGGTGGAACTACCTCTCCAAATAGCTCAAACGCAGATGTTCAGTTTGGGCAGTACTGAATTTACCTGTGAGTTTCAACTGTAACATCTTAAGTATTTGAATATTCTTCCTTTATTCTAAACTATCCACTGCATTACGATTAGAGTGTTCACTAGCTCCTTGAAAATGTAAGTCTACAGGCAAGGAATCTGTGTGACAGAACTACTGAATGTTTCCTAAAGACTGATCAGCAGATTCCAGAATGCTCCTCTTGGGGAGAAAGAATAGATGAGAAGATGAAGAACAGTTAAAGAAGTTACAAACTTGCAGAGGAAAAAAAACTAAAAGGGGAGAAAGCTACAGAAAGGGGGAATAAATTTGTGAAATCGTTTTCCATAAAACCTCAGCCCAGTGTAAAGAATTGAAGAGAGAGATGACTAAACTGGGAGATATCCCTCTTCACCAAATCGCTAAGAAACATGTACCACTTTTTTTTTTAACAAATAAAATCTGTGGAGTTTGGCAAATCTCAGTGCTTGTGGCTCTTTGTTGCATACAAAATGTAGGGCACAAGACTGCAGTTGTAATAATAGCTTTCTGTGGTTGATCAGAACTCTCAGCTGAAAAAGCTCTTTACTGCCGTGGAAAGCCAAGGACCACAGCTGGTCAGTTTAATAGTTTTCATTATTTTTGTAAAAATGACTAAACCCCAAAAAACTAATATACATTAATAGGAACGAGGACATCCCAACCACTAGAACACATCAAATTCACTCTGTATGGCAGCTGGGAAAACAGATGACAAATAATTTGCTGGCTTTTTAGCCTCTGACCAAAGGACCCAGGATGGCCTTGAGAACAACAGGAGCACAGTGCAGAGCTGTGCTGAAAGCAGCAGACCTTTAAGGGGAAAAGGAGAATGAAATACAAAGCTTTACAGTCCTAACAACAAAAGGGACTGTAAAGTTCTCACATTAATTAGGACACTATTACAAGAAGAGGATACCAAGACAAAAGCTTTCCTAGAAGAGTGATCTGAGAGAAGTCATATCATCTCCCCGCTTTGTTCAACAGAGCTGGTAACTGACTTGCTCACTCACCTACAACCTGCTGGTAGTTAACAGCTCTGCTCTCAGATCTTTCATGACTTCGGGTAGCAGGAACATAGATTACTCAGGAAAGTTGAAATCTGCTCTACCCAGATACTTAAAGAGGCCTCATACTTTCTCCATCCAAGGGGAACTGAGTCAAGCAATTCCACTAACAGTCTTTGAAACATGCATTTATTTATACAACTTATAATTTGGATTTTCTTGATTTTTTGTTTGTCCACATTCAAAAAATGCTCCAAATAGTACTTTAAATACTATTGTTCTTTCATTAAGAATCACAGTATATACGAAAAACAGATAAAGCTTTAGTAACTTTTATCATTTTAATTTTAGTAACTATATAATTTTAATTAGCAACTGTACTACCTCATGTTTTTCTTGAAATCCCACTTCTATCAACTTTTAAACATCAGTTACATTCCTTTCTAGCAAAAATGCTGTATCCAAGTGAAAATACAACTTCATGAAATAGATAAATTTTAAAAGCAATCACTTTCACTGTTTTGGAAGACTGGTTGAGAAATGTGGAGCCATAAAGGGGGCCTTCTTGTTTATTGCACTTTAGTATGTTTTTCCTACCAGTTGCCATCAAAAGTAAGCAGCTGTGAGTAGACAGATTTCTAAGATACCTTTATTTTTTAAGTGAGAAATAAAACTTGAAAAACTATCAATAAGAATTTCAGCACTAGAGAGAGCAGTTACTAAAGTGAAAAGGGAAGAAACCCAAGGAGTTGCATGCAGA